ATTCAACAATCGAGGAAATAAAACTAAGTTCACCGTTACATTGTGTTTTGAGTCGATCTAAGATTACAATCACAGAATAAAAAATGGACACTTTTTAACTGATTGGCTAATTACACTTTTGGCAGTTATCATTGGAGCAGTTTCGGTCTTTACGTGGTATTTATTAATTTATTAAAAATTTCCTTTCGACAAAGAGGTTGTGTTCTAAAAAAGATAGGAAAAGTTTAATATGCGAATCTCGGAATCTGTCAGACTGTCACTGTACCATTGGCCCACAGTTGCCTGAAGTCCTGAAGTTCTGAACTCCTGAACTCCTGAAGTCTTGAAGTTCTTAAGTCCAGACTCCATGAGTCCCTGAGAAACCTAGAGACCTGGACTCTTGGACTTCCGGACTCCTGGATTCCTGGACTCTTGGACTCATGTGCCTATGAAGTATGATTTAAAAATGAAGAAATATTTTAGATCGAAGATTATCGGCCAACGACTCATCGAGTCATCACTCGTCAGGCTAATGTCGTTATACGACACTGGTGACAATAAAATTATTAATCACCTCAGGCCCAGTTTTCTACCAGTCTCATACTTGTACTTTTTCGTGTTTATTTTGCCTAAATATCGGTGTATTAATGTAATTAGCGTGATTTCAAGCACTTGTGAGATGTGTTTGTTTTCTGCCGGTTTGTTTGTTATCTGTCGGCTGAAAGCGCTCGACTTAAATGTTAGATATTGTAACGCGGATACAACCCTTTTGTTGCACTTATGTTAGGTCCTTGTCGGTCTTAAGGGCTTGACATATGCTAGCAGTTAGACACATGTACATAGGCGTACTCTGTCTTAGATATCGCTTCGGATTCGCCCATGGTTTTACAGTTGACACTGTTCGTGTCTAACATACGTCGACCTCTCCTCTGAGGCCGACAAATAACTAATACTACAAGTGCAATAAATGGGCTAAAATCATCTTAAAAGCAAAGTATACTCGAAAAAGGTTTTTAAAAGTACGAGACTGGTAGGAAACTGGGCTTGAGGTGGTTAATAATTTTATTGTCACCAGTGCCGTATAAAGACATCAAGAAAACGTTTATATATATATTGGGGTTTTTGCCATAGCCTTGTAAACATTTTGCTTCGATATTTTTTTTTCAAATATACAAGCTACATGTTGCGTGCAATATCGAGAATAAAACCATTTGGATTTTGGAAACATAATAAAGTGTATATTGAAAAAAATAATTTTACAACATTGAAAATATTAAGTATTTTTGTTGTATATTTATTTTGTTTTTTTTGTACATCACAAATTTAACAAAGTTCAAGGCTCAGTGGCACAGTGACAGTGCCCATCTGCCATCTGGATGATCCGGGGCAGCTGGGGGGCTCTGCTTGGGACCTTGGGCCCTTGGGGGCTCTGTAAATACCTCGCAATGTAGGCCCTTTTTGGAGAGTCTGGCCGGCTGCTCGCTGGGGCGCAGGAACTGGGGATTCATCAAATATCATCGATCATAATGATTGATCTGATCATTGATGTGAGAAAATGAATGCAGTCCTAATCTGAGTGTATTGATTCTGTATGTATTTTTGTTTTAAAAAAAACACAGCCTTCTAAAATCTGAACATAAATATATAGCCTTCAATCACACAAATTTATTCTCATGATGTGTGTGTATTTACTCTAATTACAAACCAAAAAGGAAAAACATTTCAGTTTAGAAGGCTGTGTTCAATTTAGGGCCAGTCCTGCCGCCGGATTTAGTGAAAGTACAGTGAAATTCCACAAAAAAAATGAATTTCATTTCATTTTCACGCAGTGACCCTTTTTAGAAATAAAATGAAATTTCATTAACTTCTTTTTTCAACCTGCGAAGTTGGAAGGTAGTGAAAAATGAGATGAAAAATGAAATTGTGATCCTATTGGTTGTCTTAGGGGTTTTTTTAGGTTTCATATTGTTATTTTTAAAAATATCCAAAAACAACCGCCAAAATAATTTCATTCTTGTTAATTTTGCTTTTGTGGAATAAAACAAATGAAGGATATGTTTTGTAAATTCAGTATGAAATATTTTATTTATTTTTCATTTCATTTCATTCCTGAAAATCAGCTGTGGGACTGGTCTCGCCGCCACATGCCTAGAAATGAAATTCGGGCTCTGAAATTTCATATTTCATTTCATTTTCAAATTCGAGGGCAGGACCGACCCTTTTTAGAAGGCTACATAAAGGAACTCGCAACTGGTCTGGAGTCTGGAGTCTGGCCTCAAGTTCCGTTCTCTAGTCGTTCATGCCCAGCGTTTGTATTTAATTACTGTGTGAAGGTTTATACTTTTTTCCCCGCAGTACGTATGTATGTATATATGTTTTTATGTACATATTTACGTATGTACGTCCGTACGTATGTAAATTTATGTATGTATGTATGTATGTATGTATGTATGTATGTATGTATGTATGTATGTATGTATGTATGTATGTATGTATGTATGTATGTATGTGTGCACACGTATACGTATGTATGCATGTATGTAAGTCTGTGTACACATATATGTATGTACATAAAATGAACATATGTATGTATGTAAAAAAATGGGTTCTAGTATGTATATATGTATGTATGGCTTTCAGTGTATGTGTATGTATCTATTTATATATATATATATTTGTGTGTATGTATGTATAAATGTGTTTATAGGTTTTAGGGTTTGTATGTATTTATGTATGTTTGTATGTATGTGTGTGTATGTATATAAGTTTGTACTTATTTGTGTATGTCCGTATGTATGTATGTATGTATGTATGTATGTATTTGTGTGTATGTACGGACATATGTATGTACGTATGTATGTAAGTATGTATGTATGTTTGTATGTGTGTATGTGGGCGTGTATGAATGTATTTATGGGTTTTAGTATGTATGTATGTACATATGTATGTATATACGAATGTACGTATGTGAATACTGTATAGGGTCGCCGTCCAAACGCTTCTTTTCATTTGGCGCCATATCATTTGTACATGTGTACGTTCGTGCTGATGTATGTATGTACGCATGTATCTATGTATGTATGTAAGTATTTATTTATTGGTTTTAATGTGTATTCATGTCTGTATGTGTGTGTGTGTAAAAATGTATGTATGTGTGTATGTGTGTACATAGATATGTATGTATGTATTAATGAATGTATGTATGTATTAATGAATGTATGTATCAATGAATGTATGTATGTATGTGCTGTACAGGGTCGTACATGCGCCAAAATGCTTCTTTCGTTTGGCGCCATTTCATTTGTATCTACGTATATATGTATGTATATATGTGTGTATGTATGTATTTATGGATTTTATTATGTATTTGTATATGTACGTATGTATATATGTGTGTATGTATGTATTTATGGATTTTATCATGTATTTGTATATGTACGTATGTATGCATGTATGCATTTATGGGTTTTAGTAAGTACGTATGTATGCATTTATGCTTTTATGGAAGTATGTATGTATGCATGTACATATGCATATAT